ATTCGCTGCCAAAAATTGGATTTGCTTACACAAGCTCTTGGCTCAATCCTTATCCATTCGCCCTGAAATATACTAGCCAGAAATGCGATTGCTTTATAAAAAAAAAGCCATTGTGAAATATGAGTGTTTTTACGCTCTAGAAAATAATTTCTACAAGTTCACATACGCGGTTTTGCATTTTGCTGACACGCGGTTTTGCATTTTGTTGATACACGGTTTTGCACTTTAAACGACGATATGCTTAATTTGGTCTCATTTTTTTCATTTATGTAAGAGATGAATTTTTAAACTAAGAAAGACTGATATATATAGATATATGTATTGTATGTTCCTTAGTTTTTATACATACATACTGTAAAAGTGTTAGGGCTGTTAACTTATCTATTAACGATTTAACTATAGTCTAAAATAGATAATATGCTTAATTTGTTGAATGGCCCATCAGGTCGATTGACCGTGTATGTTCTTGTGGTGTGATTGTACCAGCTGCTGGTGCGACTTCAAAAACTGTTTGAAAATTTTATGATTGTACCAGCATGCTGGTGTCGTGAGTGGTGAAATTAGCTCAATTTTCTAAGTAAAACATATTTTGGCGTAAATTTCTTGCACTATATGAGTCAAAGCCGTATTTGTGGAAGGCTAAGTTCACGATATTGCAGTTGTGAGTAAAAAAAAAAAACAATGTTTAAAAAAATGGTATAAAAACTAAATTTCGGCTCTAACCATTTCGATCTTTCCTCGACCTCATTTGTAAAGAAATAAATATTGTAGCAGCATGCTGGTAAGTTACATGCTTCGATCCTGATGGTACAATCACTTGATGGAGGCAGCAAGCTGGTGTCGGTATATTTCACCTTCTATACAAAAAGGTTTTTGGTTGGATAAAATATTAACTTTTTTTCCCCGAGTTCATTGTTTTTATACACCATTACTTATTCAAAATGTTTGCGTGTAAAAAATTTTAGCTACCATTTTTAGCCACAACGAATTTTTTTAGCTCTTTTTTAGCCCTTTTTTTAAAGGAATTTGGCTACCAGTAAATATTATTCGCGGCAACACTGCTCATGATAAGACTGATTTACCTTACACTACTTTCACTTTTTTCAGACTTTACCTTTCCCAATAACTTTTAAAATTTTTAATTCGCCACTCATAGTTTTATTTTGAATAGCATCATTGCTTAAGTTGTGCTTGTAACAACAGATTTGTTGGTTAATGGCTGCAAATAGTTTTATACCAAATTAGAAGCCACAGGAGTGCAATGGTAGGGCTGCCAGATATCTCTGTTGCCAAACCGGGACACTTTAGGGGGGAGCCTCTCGCTCCCTTCTCTTTCATTTCGACGTAGGGAAATTTTATTTTGACAGACAAAAACAAAAACATAAAAACATGAGAGCATGAGATCATTACGTACGCCACCAAAACAAAACCACTTATCACAACTAAAGCACAGAGCATTTTTTACAATGCATGAACCTTTTTTATTCTTTATAAAAAAACAGTTTTTACAAAATATATGAAAAAACATAAAAATAAAATTGTTAAACCTTGTGCTAAACTCGGGAAAACTCAATAAATTTGCATACAAATTTGCAACATTCTAATCAGACTTTTTATAAAAATGTTTAAAATGAAGTTTTGCAGCCCATTAAATTTTAGTTGATTTTTGGTATTGTTTTTACTGAGAGTTTCTTCCATACAAACTATGTTTGATAATTCTTTTTATATGGAAGACACTGTCAGCAAAAAAAAAAAATGCTAAAAATCAACGAAATTTGCTGACAACTTTAGACTTGCACTTTATTAATTGGCTCAAAAGCTAGATTTTAAAAATTTTTCTAAAAGATCTGATTATAAATTGTGATCTGATTAAAGAGCCTCCGAGCCAATAATTTTGTACGGCACTGTACTTATAAGTACTCTAGGTTTCATGAATGAAAAAAATATAAGTGCAAGATAACATTAAAATATCAGTCATATTTTTCGTTGCTGTGAACTGGTTTCAAAACTTCTGTCTTTTCCTTAATATAATTGTAAAACACTGTGCACGTCATTTTGAACGTATTTAGGTACATATCGATGGCTGAGTGGAAGATCGACCTATCTCGGCAGCCAGTTCGAAAACGCCCTATCTCAGAAAACTTTTCAAGAACGCCCTACTTCAGAATTTGATTGACCTTACCTCAGAATTTGGTTGAATAACGCCCTATCTCAGAATTCGGTTCAAAAACACCCTATCTCAAAGGAAAATACTTTGAAAATAAGCTGACATAGGGCGTTTTTGAATCGGCATGTAAGATAGGGCGTTCTTCAAACAAATTCTGAGGTAGGGTGTTTTTCAATAATATTCTGAATTAGGGCGTTTTTGAACAGTTTTCTGAGATAAAGCGTTGTTGAAAGATTTTCTGAGATAGGGCGTTTTCGAACTGGCTGCCGAGATAGGTCGATCTTCCACTCAGCCATCGATATACTAATCATAAGGGAACGGATTTTTAGGACCTAAAAACCTATAAAAAACGCAAAATAAAATAACGAAATAGGCTGGAAAAGGTAAAATAAAATAGCGAAAAAGGCAGGAAAAGGCACTAGGTATTGCAAAAAAGGCAAAAAAAGCAAAACAAAACAGCGAAAAAGGCAAGAAAAGGCACTAGGTATTGCAAAAAAAAGAAAAATAAGGCACTAAAAAAAAGACAGAAAATACGAAGAACAATCAAAAAATACATTTATTTTCGAAATCTTTATATTACAAGTAAACAGAGAAAAACTATGAACTAGTTTCATTATATGAAAAAATAGTACTTTGTATCTTTGACTACTTTATGCTTTCGAGTTTCTTACTCATAAAACTTTAATCTGTATAGTTGTAGTAACATTGAACCACAAGATGCATTTAGAAGTTTTCATTCGATTTTCGGGAAGAAAAGCCTTGAATGTACTAAATGTGCGCTCGAAGTAAGTTGATACAAGTGGAGCCCAATTTAAATAGGGAACGTTTGAAACGTTCATATTATCAGGAATAAGGGCGTTTTCCTCGCCCTTTACAATTTTTTCCACACCCCTTATTGTCTCCAAGCCTACGTTAGCTGAGAAAACGGCTTTGAATTTTTCCAACACCAATTTGGCAAGAGGTTCCTGCGCTTCTATAAGCTGCATGGGCATGTGTATATTTTTTAATCTTAAAACAAAAATTGTAAATGCTATAATCACCCTTTTAAAGGTAGAAAAGGCAAATATCTTAAAAAAAAAGCCAACATCAAATGTGTATATATGGAATCAGGGAAAGCTAAATCGTGGACAGTCTTAATCGAATATACTCTATCTCTTTAGCAGAAAAAAAGGCAATTTCCATAAAATCTGTTCCCTGCTAATCATCAACTATTGCTTGTGCAAGGTTCAACTATCTCGAAATGTGACTATTTCACAAATTAAACCGGTGCACTGAGAGAAAGAAGTTTAGAGTTAAAAAAGCGTGCTAAATTAAAAAACATTCGTATGAAAGAGCACCAACCCAACTCGTAATACATTTAAGTATACAAATTTTAACATTTAGTATTGAAATATTCAATTCAAATACGCCTATATTAAAATGAAGTGATTTGCAATTACCGATTGTTAAAAAAATATTTAAATTCCATGCTGGTTGCAATGGGAATTGAACCCTGACCCTCTGGAAATTAGCAAATTGTGGCAAGCATCGTCGCGCACTCAGCTACAGCCAGACATGTAAATGTGCATTTAAATGTTGATTTTGAAGCAACACCACGCGTGCGTGTTATGAAAGTATTATTTTTAAATACGAACATTTTTAAACGATAATCAAATAGAAAATATTCATATTTACTATGAGTTATTTCCCTCAGTGAATTCATAACATTTTTCAGAATATTACAACGCGTTTTTTCCGTTAGTGTAGTGATTTTTGAACTTTTATTCAAATTTGTGCAATCAAATCAAAAACCGGGACACTAAAACGAAACCCGGGACATTTTAAGGTTGGACCGGGACACCGGGACAAATAGTCTAAAACCGGGACATGTCCGGGAAAACCGGGACATCTGGCAGCCCTATGCTATGGGGTATAGTAACGGTGACCATTCGTACCGATTTTGGCGGCACAGTACCGATTTTGAGAAAATTGTCACGCTGAATATTTTTTAAAAGTCGGGACGCATAAGTGTCCCGATTTTTCATATTTGTACCACCTAAGTCCCGATTTTCAGTGCTTTCTTTATTAATTTAATAGCAGTGTGTTAGTAGACGAGAAATTTAAGCTATTAGCTTATTTTGTATGGAAGACTTAGCCAACATAACTATATTGGCCAAGTCTTCCATACAAAATAAGCTAATAGCTTAAATTTCTCGTCAAATAAAACACCTAATAGAAGTTACCGTATACTCTAGCCCAAAAACCATTTTTTCGGACGCGGCAGCACTTTCGTTATCTCAAAGAACATATAATAATAATACCCAAATAAAAAGTATAAAAAAGTATCCAAGGTACTTCCTTCGATTTCACAATTTTTCGTTAGAATCTATCAATCTTCAAATTAACTATGTAGATGATACGCTGCATTCTCCGATGCCTATTCAACTGAAGCGGTTTGTATTGATATGAAAATAATAGATTGGCGCTTACACAATATGTTAGTGTTTGGCCGAGTTTCTCCTCCGATTTGTTGCTGCATCTTGATAATGTCTCGCAAAGGGGAAGGATCTACAGTTTTACGCCGACTTCGCCTGCGATTGCATTTTTATGAGCAGCTGTATTTCATGGCACAAATACACTCGGGGTTTGCCATTTTTTGTCGGGGGAAGACCGACATTAGAAACAACTTTTAAATGTTTTATTTTTTGGTGTTGGTTGGAAGCTAGGCACAGGCCCCGCTGAAAACCAGCGCGCACTGCTAACGGCTTCAAAACTCAACCAGTTCGAAACACATTATAAACTACTGACTTCAACAAAATATAATTGTAATCAAAGTCATTTTGTTTTATTACAGGTGAAATACAAATATCTACATATCCTGGGCGCATCATTGTCACAGATCCAAAAGGCATGGTGCAACCGCGTATAAACGTCGAAAAGCATTCTCTGCGACATGTTGTTCTTAATGGACAAACAACGTTGCCATGCATTGCTCAAGGCCATCCAGTGCCAACATATCGGTAGGTACATTTACATACATACTTATACTGAATACACTTAGGTCTCTTTTTATGCGGTACATGCGTTCCTCAGAAAGCCGAATAAAAAAATCTGCATACAAAAGCTCTTTACTTTCGTACAAAAACAGGGGATGCGCTCCAGCAGTTTCAAAAACCGCATAAATTCAGATACTACGTGTAAAAAATCCTAAAAAACCGCATAAAAATCCAGTGAGGCAAAGGTACTTACTATGAATGGCGTTAGAAAAGTCGATACAAATACTTAAGGAGTTTAGACACCTTACGAAAAATACTTATAACTGAAATATATATAAAAACAAGTAAGAAAGTCTAAGTTCGGGCGGAGCCGAACATTAAATACCCGGCGCAAATATTAAATATATGTTTTTTCACCTTTCCGAAACCTACCGCTAGATGGTAAGCCGGGGTGTATCAATTTTGAGTAAATTAGCGTCCTTCAATTTCGAAATATTGAAGTTTCAAGCATTTCTGAAATTTACCGTTATATGANGTGTAAAAAATCCTAAAAAACCACATAAAAATCCAGTGAGGCAAAGGTACTTACTATGAATGGCGTCAGAAAAGTCGATACAAATACTTAAGGAGTTTAGACACCTTACGAAAAATACTTATAACTGAAATATATATAAAAACAAGTAAGAAAGTCTAAGTTCGGGCGGAGCCGAA